GATGATATTAGTCAAATCACTGCTAACTATGTTTTTATTAAGTGACTGACTCTTAGAAGTATTTGCCCGAGTATTTTTGGGCAAAATGTGTGACAGCTGCGTTTGCCTGTGGAATGGTCCAGCTCTGGTAAGGAGCTGAAAAGAGGCAGGAGAGAGAAAGTAGAAGTTGCAGGTGCTGAGGATGGGTGATGAGTTGAGGAAAGCCAAGCCCTGCTCCCTTGCTTCGGAAAGGAGATTAAGGGAGATCAGTGCACCCAGCAGTGATGGTGGCAGTGGGAGGGACAGTTACGTGCAGGCTAAGTGTGACTTGGGAGTAGAACTAATGAACTCAGGGATGGTGGGGTCAGGGATGGTGCAGAATGAAGGATTCTTCTCAACTTTGGCTAGGCCAAAGGATCAGAGAGAGATGGAGGAGGTACTGCACCTATTTGAGGTGAGGAAAGACCAGAGTGCAATTTAACATGGTGAGCATAGTCATTCCAGTGAAAATTTTAAATTCATAAGCAGCAGGATGTGAGGGTCTAGAGGTCAGAGAGTAGTCCGGGCTGAGGCTTTAACTATGAGCGTCGCTGAAGTGTAAAAGCTATGCAAAGTTTCAGACTTAGGATTCCGATCCAGAAGCCCATGTGGCAAGAGTTTTAGCAGAGGATCAGCTCTGTCTTTTTGCAGTGAGTGTCTACGAGTGTGGAGCAGCAGCAGAGAGGATGGGTAGGGACAGGGCTAAGCATGACCCTGGGGCAGCCCACACTCTGAGCCCTGAGAGAGGAGTGGCTGGGTTAAGAAAGAGCAGCCAAGAAAGGGTCTCTGGAGGCATTGGCTCAGGAGCCAAGGGATGAGGTGGCTCAAGAATGCCATCAACTGTCATCAACTTTAAAAACGCTGCTGAACTGTGAGCTGAAATAAACTTTTCTCTTTATGAAGAGTAAACAAATAAATAAAATAAGGGGACACTGAAGTAAGTGTCAAGTAAAAATACCACAATCTGTCCAGCAGTCCAGCCACACGGGGGTGTGCAGGGAAGCCCAGTCTGGAGCCAGGACCCATGTGGGCCTTGTCCTGCCACACCAGGTTGGCAGGGCCAGCTGGGGCTGCCACACTGTGTGGGTAAGAAAACAGCTTCCCAGGGAGAGAGCTGAGAGGCCCTGGTGAGGACCAGGAGGAGCCCGGCGTTGGCAGGACCCCTCTCCGAAGGATTGGGGGGCTCAGCTGGCCCTGGGTCGCCTCCCGCAAGGATGCTCAACTTCTCCCTCCCCACTGTGTGCCCAGGGCCACCCTGTCCTTCGGAAGTCTGGGTCTGAGTGGGTCTTTATAGGACCTCTCAGGGCATCAATGGCCCAAGCCTGGAGCCAGGTCCTGGGGGCAGAGTCGGGAACCTGGCAGAAGAAGAGCTGCAGTTGATCTTGGAGGCTCCCAAAGGGGAAGAGGACCCTCCTGTCCCCAGGGACCTGGGTCACACAGCCAGCATGCAGGGATGAGCAGGGCTACTTTTAGCAATTCTGCTAATTCCAAAACAGTTCTGTGTGATTCTGCTAATAAAAAGTGCAGAGAAACATGCAGAGTGAGCTATATTTTAAAAGCTAACCAAGGAAAAGGGGTTGATAACCACAGATGCGAGGTGTCAGGAGTTCCACTAAAGACATGGAGAAGGGTATGCGGGGCCCTCCAGCTGCGGGTAGCACTGTTTTCCTTGGTCAGGGAGCTGTACCACGGTGCTCGCTCTACAATGACTTGCTAAACTGCACAGTGTGTGTGCTGTGGTCCAATTAGTAAGTGTGCAGTGGGTGTCAGCGCCCGTGTAGGCACCGCGCTGGTGCACGGGGAGGGACAGGTGGGAGCCAGGCAGGAGGGATGCGCTGCCGAGTGTCAGGGCAGCAGGAGGTAAGGCGCGGACAGAGGAGAGATTGTGAATGCCACCACGAAGAGGCAGAAGAAGGTAGCACAGAAGGCAGAGAAGCCCGGGGACGTTATTCTTTTTAACACTGAAAAAGGCACTCTAAGGCAGGAGAGATGAGGTGAGGACAAAGTGCTGAGACAGAGGTGTCCAGAGGGGCGGCAGCTGAAGACCTGGGAAGACGAAGGCTGCCTGAAGGGAATCTGCCTCGAGCTGCAGCAGCAGGTGGTGCAAGTTTTCACAGAGCCATGTTAGGTGAACAGTCCACATAAAGTCTACAGACAATCAAATCGGGTGTGCACAAGTGTGTGCCTATCGTTGCCTGTGTGCCATGCCAGCACCTCAGGGTTGTGGCTGGTGCTGCCCTTGGCATTCAGGCCCTTTCCCGCCTGCTTCAACCCCTCCCAACAGTTCGCCTCTTCTGGACCGTCAGGTAAGTGGCGTCGCACAGCCCGACAGAGGGCCATCTAAGTTGGCGCGCCGTGGTTTCTACTCATGACTGCACAGTGTTCCACTGCACAGATGGACCTGTCTGCTCACCATCCTCCCGCTGAGGCACATCTGTGCTGCTTCTGGGTTTGGGTAATTATGAGCAGAACACTACAAGCACTTGCGTGGCGATCTGTACGTGAACACAAGCTTTCATTTCTCCAGGGTCAGCACCTGGGGGAGGGCTGCTGTGTGAGATGACAAGTGGATGTTTCACTTCACAGGAAACTGTCACCCTGTGCTCAGAGTGCCGTCCAGCCTCCTCCCACCACCAGCAGCCCACAAGGGTTGCAGCTGTCCTGCGTCCCTGCTAGGGGCTGCCAGCAACTTTAGCTATGCTAACAGATACGCAGTAGTGTCTCACTGTGGGTGAAACTGAATTTTGCTAGTGATCAGGATTACTGGGCCTTTTCTCATGTGGTTATTTGTCACTAGTATATCTTTGGCAAAATGTTCAAAAAATTTGGGATGCCAATTTTTGTTTGGGTTATTTTCTTGTTGAGTTTTGAGTGTTCTTTATATATTCTGGATGTTAAGTCATTTGCCAGACATAAGATTTGCAATTTTTAGTAATATTACTAGCCTTCTTTATAATACCTCTGAGTAACATTGTTCAATTTTGAAGTCTAATTTATCAATTTTTTTCAGTTATAGGTCATGCATGTGTGGTATATTAAGAACTCTGCCTGAGGTCATGATTGTTTTCCTATGTTCACGTCTAAGAGCTTTATGCCTGCACATTTAGCCTAAGATCCACTCTGAGGAACCTGCTGTACACTGTGCGAGGCACAGGCTGGGCTCCCTCATCTTGTTGGACTTCTCCGTGGAACTGCCCCTTCACACCCACGGACAGTATTTTTTTTTTTTTTGGTACCAGGGATCGAACTTGGGTCCTTGTACTTGAGGCAGGTGGTGGATCCACTGAGCTAAATCCCCGGCCCCCACGAACAGTATTTTTGTGGGCCTCCTTTTGGAGTCTGCCTGCCGATCCCAGCTGCCTTGGTTACTGCTGCATCAAGGGTTACTGAGATCTGTCTGTGTCTTCCAAGATCCTGCTCAGATGCAGACTGAGAAGTGCTACACACGCAGAGCCTTCTGGGGCTGGGACACTGCACTGAGGCCTTAATCCATGGACACAGTATGTCCCGTCCATGTGTGGTTATTTGTTTTTTTAATCAGTACTGTACAGATTTTAGCATGCAGATCCTGCACAAGCCTGATGGGACCAATGAGAGTTAGGTATTTCAGTGCTGACTTTGTATCCTCGAGTCCTGACAACCTGTTAGACTCAGCAACCAGCTCTTAAGAGTTTTCTAGTAGATGTATGCAGTTGTGCTGCATGTGATACTTCTTCCTTTCTGGTCTCTGTTGTACATATACTTCTGCCATCCCTTGTGTGACTACAGTTCTGAGGCCCTTCCCCAGGACAGAGCCTAGCCTGAACATGACCACTGAATTACACAATATCCCTGCTGCCCGCTGTGCTCTTCTGCGGTGACCCCCACGCAGCGTTACCATGACCTAAACTTGCGTGCAGTGCTGTTTCCACATGTGATCAACAGGACAGCATTGGCTGCAGCATCCATGTGAACGCTACCTTCTCCTGTCTGCACGCTTGGGCTGCTCAGTCCCAGAAGAGAAGACTGAGCAAAGAATAAAGCATATTTGCTTCATAAAAGAGAGGACGTTTCTCCTCTGAAACAAAACGGGGGAGGAGGTGACTGATCAAGATACAGAGACATTGTGAATTGGAAAGAAACCCAGGCATTCATTCACGGAAGCTGATGGTAAGCTGTATTCACACAAATAAACCCTAAGCGACACTACTACATAGTTAGGTAAGGTGATCTCCAATTGCCACCAATGCAAATGGTACTGTTCTTTAGAGTTTCAACTTTTCATGTTTCGTGACTTTAATCACAGACCTCTTAAGCTTCTTGTAATGGAGCTGTAGGGTTAAGCTATGACACGGGAAAAAGACTAGGACCAGTCTTATACGTCCGTCTGTAGTCTGCTTGCATAGTATAATTCTGCTGGCTTCAATTAACACAGAATTAATATAATATATTGCAGGAGAGGAGGGAGGCGAACAGTTGGATGCAAAATACTAACAAGCAACAAATGATGTCGCTTTCATTTGACTGTGTCATGGAGGGTCAAAGTAAGAATAGAATGGTGGCAGAGCATTTCAATTTTTATGACTTATGAAAATGATAATATACTCTAAAAGTACCATTAATGCACAGAAATAAGAACAAATGATGTTACGGGTACACGCACCCAAGACAAAACATACACAAATGGGTTAAATGGACATGTTTCATCCTAAGTAAATCCATCTGTAAAAACAAGCACTGGACTCTTTCAGCTGTCCAAGCCATCACTAGCACTGGTCACATTATTTCTTGGTCAAACACAGGGCAACACTCAGTGTGTGAGAAAACGCGCTTGGTGTCTGCAGCCCAAGCCCATCTGACCTGTTTCTTTCTACCTGCAGCCCCTGCGGCCCCGGCCTCGGCCCCCACCCCTCCAGCCAGCGCCCCTGCTCCAGGAGAGCACAGACCCCGGAGTGCCCTCCCTCGGGGAGACTGCACCGTCAAAGGCCAAGCTCCAGGCTCACCCACTCATAAGACAGCACCCAGCAGCCGCGCCCGATCCCCAGCAGCACATTCAGCGTGCGCAGCGGCTTCCCGGCCAGCACGTGCGTCGTGGTCTCGCACACTTCCGGCGCCAAGGAAAAGCCTTTCAGGGTGTCCACCACCTGGATGACGACGCTCTGCTTCCTAGCAGGGGGGAAACAGAAGCCTTGATGAGTGTCTGCTGCTCGTGAACATCGAGGCAACTAAACTGAATGAAAATAAAAAACTGGAACGTGAAAATTTTTAATTGGCTTTGGTTATAGCACTCATGTGTTCATTTTTTAACAATCAGTCAAGTAACATGAAATTTAAAGAAATAAAAAACTCTCCAAATCCCAATTCAAACTGGTCTAAGAAAACAGGCCTGAGGCTGTAAGCGGCACCCCCAGGGCCACTGGCCTGGCGGGGACAGAGCAGGGACCAGGCCTGGCCGCAGCTCAGTGTGCTCACCCTCCACACAGCGACCCCTTCTCAGGCACCCTGAGGCCAGCCTGCACAGTCAGGGCAGGACCAGGTTCTTTCTTATGTATTTTAAAAAGACAAAAATTTTTGAGTGTCACACACAGGTTTCCTACTACGAAGAAACTTCAGACCCTTTTATTAAGCCATTGAATCAAATCTTAAGGCAAACTTGACAGAGGCATTTTGGTTTCATAAAGTTCACCATTGTCTATCTTCTGGTCTGTCACTCTCGTAATGCTGCATGTACCATTTGTTTTGTTTTTAAACAGTCTATCAAACATCCTTTCTAAGCAACTCTCGGTTCTCCCCTCTTCCTTTTACCACAACCTTTCCGACAGCTCCAGTTCGATTTCTTTGCTTCTCGATCTTCCCTGCAAGGTGTGATGCTCCCAAGAGAAACTGAAGGACGTGAGGCCATCTAGACTGCCTGTGACCACAGCGCACCCGTGAGCTAAGGGAACCATGCTGGCCCTCTGCACAAGGTATTCCACGGGGACAGAGGCCATGGCTGGCCCTGCTGGGACCTGCTGCCTCTAGGGCTCTTCCTCCACCTCTTGGGCCTCAAAGTTTATCCCCAGCACTTGGTCAGCCTGCTAGATGCAGAGTGGACCCACACCGATGTTTAATTCCTAGAGCTCTGCCAGGCGGAGAAGCTGAGTGTGACAGTCAAGATCCGGCTCTGTCCCAGCTTGAACTGAGAAGTTAGCCATGCTTATCATCATCATAAAAAAGTTTAGGAAAAAAATCAATGCAAAAAAGACAAAAGAAACCTAAAACAAAAGCAAAACGGAATAAAAACCTCTAAACTAGATCTCTAGAACTCTTCAGTTCTGGATATCAGATTTTCTCCTCCAAGTCTGGGAGCAACCAACAGTTATGCAATGAGTAACAATGTCTTTTAAAGGCAGGATCCCTCAACATGGAATCAAAATGTCCAGGTCTTAAGACACACAAGAAATCTAAGATGAAAAAGAATAAGAATATGCCTGAAGGAAAAGTTTTCTTTTTAAAATCTTTAATACGAAAATAGTCATTAATGTCTGTTTTTAATTTAGGGAACAAATAGGGACTTTAAAAAATATTATTCACACCGTCAATCCTATTTTCCATATGAGACTATTTAAACGTTCAATATATTTCCCAGTACATTTCCAACATCCTGCATGCACTCCTTTCGCACTCCATGAGGTGTGCTGCGTAGTTAAGCACAAATCCTTTCATTGCCATGCTACAGGCAGGAAGAGGAGCTTGCCACACGAAGTGATCACACACGCACTCTGTCTGCAGCACAATTTTCACTCCAGCATCCCAGTGTTTTGATGAATGTCTTAAAACCTCAAAGCCTATGACTGATTTAAAAAGTGTGGTTTTCTCCTTTAACAGGAATTCAAAAATCTGCTACAAAAACTCTACTCCTGTTTTTGTTGGATGCTCTTTACTATGCTAAATGTGTAAGGAAGACGATAAGTGTGTGCCAGCGGCCCATTAACCCTTCTGAGAGATGCACAGATAGCCACTTCAATGGCCGTGGAAAGCCTCCTGCCGCTGTGTTCTTTAAGACCTTTAAGGAAAATGTTTTGGCCAGCATTTCTGTTTACTGAATATCTATGGAGTGAGGGTGGACAAACAAAGTCATTAGGAATTAAACAAGCAGGCTCCATCCCCAGTGTTGGGGGGGAAGCAAAACAGTGCAGAACCTGTTAATGCTGTGCCAACAACCCAACATGCTTTCAGCACGAAACGGTAACACTGAACCGCAGGTTCAGTTTTCACCTATTAATCACCGAGGAAAGCAGAGTACAGATCTACGATCTACTGAAAAGGAACGCCAGCGTGTAAGAGAAAAGGCCGGGTTGCACACTGAAGACAGCGTTATCCAAACAGCCTGTACTTACTCCGATGGCATGCTTGTCATGACTAATGTTCTTGTTGGCTGAAGCTGCAAGAGAAGGAACAAAAAACAGTCAGAAATATAAAAAGAAACTTTTCCCACAGAAATAAACTTTAATAAGTTTTTTGAAAAGTTACATCATTTAAAAATAAGCATTTAAGCATATATCAAAGAAAAAAATCTTTATATTCCCGGAAAAAATAGCCCAAGAGATAGAAATTTGATACTATTCCAAAACCAACCCAAAATAATGGAGACGCAAGGTAAAAGCGCTCGCCAGTCAGCCAGCGGGTCTCCGCCATGAGGAGAGGACAGGCAGGACATCGTGATGCTCAGCTCGGCCCGGCCCCGGCCCTGTCCCTGTTCCTAACCCCGCCCCGCGGGCAGCCCTGTGTACCCATCCCAGACACAGGCATGCCTCTCCCGAGTGGTCCAGCAAGTCCAGCCGCACTGCACGAAGCACCGACCCACTTCCTGTGCTGGCATCTGCTATTATCTGGAACTGTGCAGTTTCTTAAGAGATTTTTAAATACTTTTTATTTAGTAAGAAATGCATGTTGAATGCAAAAATGTGAATGGTATTGAAACATACATATTAGAAACATGAATATGAATGCGCTGTGATTCTATCAGCCAGAAATGACTATTTATTAATGATTTGGTAATATGCAGCCTGATGTGCGTTCTATGGGCATGCATGTGCATCTAATGAGCTCACACTCCTCACGCACTTCTGTATGAGCACTTCAGGTGCAGCCAACTGCAGTGTGAGCAGTGACTCGCCCCGCGAACGCCCTCGGATCCTGAATGGTCACACGCACTAAACCAGAAGAACAAAAGGCGCCAAAGGGCAGCAGGCTGACAGAGCCCCTGACTTGGAGAGGTGCACTGTGTATTTGGGGAAGGCAGAGAACAAAGAGTGCAGAGGGAACACGAAATCAAAAAGACATTCTGAGGGAGAACTCTGCATCCCAGCACTCAGGAGGCTGACGCAGGTCATTCCTAAGTTTGAGGCTAGGCTGGACTAAACAGCTAGACTCTGTCTCAAAAAAGGAAGAAATCTGAGGAGTGACAGATGAGCTAACAGACAACTGCTCCTTGTCTTTGCAGCCGTCCTCTGGAACACGCACCTACTGGCTCTCACGCTCTGACACCACACTCGAGCAGCCCCTGCGTGGCGCTGGTCAGGGCTGGAGACCAGGCCTCTCTGGGCACCTTGGTCAGCAGATGAGGCTCACACTGAGCCTGACCCTACGCCTCCAGGCCACTCCGGTGTGGACCTGCACAGTCCCAGGGATCTGACACCCCCCAGAGGCCTGTGGTGTTCTCTCAGTGGGTGCTACTCCTCTCTGGGGCGACATCAAGGGAGAAGGAAAGCATCTGGCCCTGAAGTGCAGACCCAGCTCCTCCGGGTCCCTGCCCTGCCAACACTGTGCCTCCCTGCTCAGCCCCTGCTTGCCAAGTGGGGCCCGATGCTTCCTAACTTCAGATCTGCACATGCCTCCCTGACTCCAGACTCCAGCACGCTGCCTACTGGACATCTCCAATAGAGTCTAGTCAAGGTCTCAAATTTAACATGACCAAAACAAAATCACAGCTCTCACCAGTCAATTAGGTAAGAAAAAGAGAGAAATGAGAACCAATCTGGAAATGAAGAAGTCAAACTATACTCACAGCTGAGATGGTTTATATGCAGACTATCCCAAGGAATCCAGAAAAACTATGAAAACTAATAAATTCAACAAAATTGTCAGATACAAAGTCAACACACAAAAGTCAGTTGTATTTCTATAAATACATGAAAAAATGTTCACCATCACTGGTCATTGGAGAGATGCAGATGAAAACAACGCTGAGATTCCACCTCACCCCAGAAAGAATGGCTGCTATCAAGAAATCAACCAATAACAAATGCTGGCAGGGGTGTGGGGAGAAAGGAACCCTTCTCCATTGTTGGTGGGAGTGCAGACTGCTGCAACCACTGTGGAAATCAGTATGGAGATACCTCAAAGAACTAGGGCTGGAGGTCCCATTTGACCCAGCTATTCCCCTGCTGGTTATCTTCCCAAAAGAATTAAAAGAATCACACCACAGAGATATATGTGTACCCATCTTTATAGGGGCACAGTTTGTAATAGCTAAAGCTTGGAAACAGCCCATATGCCCATCAACTGGAGACTGGATAAAGAAGATATGGTTTTTTCATAAAATGCAATGCTATTCAGCCATAAAGAATGAGAAATTAGTCATTTACAGCTAAATGGATGCATATTGAGCCCATACTCCTAAGTGAAATAAATAGGACACACATGTGTTAATACCGAATAGTTTCTCTAGTGTGAGAAACTGAAAGTGTAGATAAGGATTAAAATGAGTAAAATGAATAATTGATAATCTGAAATAGGAAGAAAAGGTCCAAAGGGATAGGGGTGGTGGGAGGGGAAGGGGAAAGGAAAGAAGGGAAAGGAAAAATTATGAGAAAAGAAAAACAATGGAAACAAAGTCTTTGTAAATAGGGAAGGGTGGAGGGGGTGAAGGGCGCACAGGTAATGGGGAAAAAATAAGAACCATGATCCATCATGTACAGGTACAAGCACCCAATGATAAATGTAAACGTATTGTATACCTGAAATGTACCGATAAAAGAATTGAAGGAAAAAAAAGTCAGTTATATTTCTATAAATTAGTAATGAAGAATCTGAAAAGGAAATGAAACGAACAATTCCACTTATAATAGCATCAAAAAAGAATAAAATACTTAGTAATAAATTTGTAAGAGTTATGTGCTGAAAGTAAAAAAAAAAAAGTTGCTGAAACAAATTAAACATGACTCAAATAAATAGAAACGTATCCTACACTCATGCATTGAAAGACTTAATTTTTTTAAGATGTCAGTACTACCCCAGGCAATCTGCAGACTCAGTGCAAACCCTATCAAAATTTCAATGGTGCTTTCGTTTCTTGTTTTTGCAGGAATGGAAAAATCCAGAGCCAAATTCATACAGAATTCCAGGGAATCTCAAACAGTCAAAACAATCTTGAAGGTGAATAACAAGGTTGGAGGACTCGTAATTCCCACTTGCAAACCTCAGTGCAACACTACATAATCAAAACTATATGGCACAGGCACAGGCACAGGGACAGATGGGTGGAAGGACAGAACAGAACAGAATTGAAAGCTCAGAAACAAACTCTTGCATCGATGGCCCATTGTTCTGACAAGGACACCGAGACTGTTCAATGGGTAAAGAACACTATCTCCAATAAAGGATGATGGAAAACCAATATTTGCATGGAAAAGAGTGAAGCTGGACCTTTACCTAACCCACATATAAAAGTTAACTCAAAACAGAGCAAATCCCTGAATCTAAGACTGAAAACTATATAATTCTTAGGAGAAAAAAGGCAATGGTTCCTTAAATAAGGCACCAAAAGAACAGGCAAAAACATAAAAAAGCTACATTAGATATTATCAACACTATTAGGAAAGTGAGAAGAGCCTAAAGAATGGCAGAAAGCGTTTGCTACCGTGTATCTGGCATGGGCTTAATATTCAGAATATATAAAAACTCCTATGACTCAATAAAAAAATCAAAGCCCAATTTAAAAATTGAACAAGCACCAGGGATTTAGCTCAGTGGTTTTGCCGCCTGCTGCGCAAGCACAAGGACCCGAGTTCAATCTCTGGTACCAAAAAAAAAAGAAAAAAAAAAAAAAAAAAGTGAACAAGCAGAAGGGAAAGAAAAGTGCGCAAACCATTTGAATAAGCATTTCCCCGAAGAAAGTAAGCAATGAGCACTAAGCGGGGGAACAGACGCCCACATCACTAGTCACGGGGCTTCCATCACGGCCTCCGGGAGAGCACCCTCCGTACCTCCGGGTTGCATATTTAAAAGCAGACAGACGGACGGAGCGGGGTAACTAGCGCTGGTGGATGTGCAGAAGCTGGAAGCTGAGCGTGCTGCTGGAGGGGCTGCAGACCAGCCAGGTGTTGCAGGAAACAGTTCGGTGGCTGCTCAGCAGGTGGAAGGAAGAACCACCATGGACTGGCAGTACCGTCCTCCGCACAGGACAAAAGGACCGAGGCCCCGAGACCTGCGCTGAATTTTCGCTGGAGCACTACCCTGAGCAGCCAGGAGAGGCAGCCGCCGGTCCCACTGTGTTCCATGACGCTGTAAGGTCAGGCCGGGCTATCCGGAAGGAGCGGCGATTGACTTTCCGCAGCTCTGGAGACCGGAAAGGCTAAGGCCAAGGCGCCAGCACCTGGCCGGGGCCGTGCTGTGTCTCGGGAGAGCTTAACTCACCTTCATGAAAACCCCCTTTTGTGATAAAGAACGCCCTCCCACGATGACAAGACTCATCCATTCAGGATGGCTATTTATTTTTCAGTTTCATAAGTGTTTTGTGCTGGAGAGTGAGTCCCAGGCTCGGGCCAGGATCACGGCGTGCGCCACCGGGCCGCCCGATCACCTGTCCGAGGCCCCGCCTCCCAACACGGAATCTGGATTTCACAGCACGGCCCAGCCCCGGCCCCGGGACGAGGGAGCAGCCACGCACAGGAAGGTCAGCGGAGCACGCCGTGCTACTGGAGAAGCCGGACGCGCAGGGCCAGACACCCAGACTCCTGTCCACTCGGTCCTGGGAAGGGCCCTCAGCAAGGGCAGAGAGGACGAGAGCTACCGGGGCCAGGCGGGCGGGGGCGGCTTTTGACACAGGCCAGGCCGACAGAGGCCCAGCTGGGGCTGAGGCAAAGGTCTGAGAACAGACAGTGGCGAGGCTGCGCAACACCGTGCGCACACGCACGGCCTCGGAGCTGTACCCCACGCGGTCGGAACAGCCGTGTCCGCCACACAGCACAGCGCGGGCACAGAGAACCCAGCGCTGCTCCTTTCCCCAGCCCACTGCCTCCGCAGCCTCACTGGTACCGCAACTCTGCTCGGCAGGCTGAAGGCCACTTCCCTGGGCGCAGGCTCGCAGGCTCTTCTCGGTCCTCACCCCACAGGTGACCCGGGCAGACGCCCAGTCTGAGCTCCTCCCCACGCGGAAGA